GTGGAAAGCCAGATTGAAGCGCTAGTGGAAAGCCAGAAAAACGCGGCAAAAGTGCTGTCAAAGGAGCACTACGAGGAATCGGTGAAGAAGAGTGCTTTTGAAGTTGATAATCAGGTAACGCTGCTGCAGCCGTCCAAGAGGAACAAGCTTGAGGTTGATTGGGAAGGGCCCGCAAAAGTAGTATCGAAGCTTTCTGATACCAATTGTGAAGAGAAATTAGGACGGCGGCCGAACAAAATTTATCACAGTAACTTGAAAGCAGTCGTAAATTTACTCTTAAGTGCTTCAGAGGAAGAGGAAGCAGAAATTTTTAGTTCTAGTGAGGTAATCGAAAGGAGATCGAAAGTAATCTGGGAACAGCTGAACCTAGAGCCTAGCTTAAGTGACGGAGGACCTGAGAAAGCGGACCTGAGAAAGATTGGTTCCGAGTTTGAAGACGTGTTTTCGGACCGCCCCGGAAACACGACGGTGATCGAACACGATATCGAGCTAAGCGGTGAGGAGTCAATCAGTAGCAAGCCGTATCGTTGTTCCCCTGTGCAACGTCGCAAGTGTGAGCCGCTCTTGGTGCCGCATAGGTATCGTCGCCTAAAAGTGGCCGGTTACTGAGATGGAGCATCATGCTCCAACAGCACAACTTTGACGTTCGCTGCAAAAAGAAAAGAAAAGGGAAAGCTAAACGCTAATGCAGGTGCATTGAGCAGTGCGTTCTAGCTAGTACCTTGTCAGCCTTTCGGTTTCTGGCTGGCGATTCGGGGCAAAATTTTGGCCTCATCACGACCTGGGCTGAGCGCTCTCGTTCAGAGTGATCTCAAGGGGCCAACTTTGTGGTATTCTAATTCGTTGCGTTGTTGTAATTGTGAAAAATTCAAGTTCTTACTTTAGGAGTCTTGTGTCCCACATGTGCCTCTTGATGTAGAGGGAACAAAATTCCGATAGACACGTAGATAGGTATATGGTGTACTATACTTTGTCTGGTGTTCTGTGGGGTGACCGAAGGCACTTGCTTGTGTCGTGTGTTGTCTGTTGTCGAACCGTTCTTAGCAAGTTGCAGAACCATCGACAAGTGCTGAAACCGAAGATGGTCAGAAGAGACGAGCGAAGTTGGCCAGCAAGTTGTGGCGACAAGCCAGTGGAGCTGGGATCCGTCGTCAAAAATGGGAGGTGTTCCCGGAACAGTCTGGAGCTGTATTCTCCCCATGGCCTGGAGGCGAACCTGGAGGGACCTGGCGAACGAGCGCACCTGACATCCGAGCCCCGTGGAAGCAGCTCGTCTTTCCGGTGCATTGTCTGGCGGCGGGGGTGCTGTTATGCCAGCGAGTCCTCGTCAAACGACCGTGCCTCTGAAAAAGGCAATCTGGGTCAAGGCCAGCCCGCAGTCCGCCTGGCGCGATCACCTCGACGGCGTGAACACGCGCGGCGCTTCTCTGGCCCACGTGCATTGAGTCAGCTGCGCACGTGACAGCGAGCCGGCGTCTTCGTGTCTGGTGGTCTGACGCGTGGCGCGGCGACGCCATTGGAGGAATCTGCCCTGACGAACAGCGGCGCTTCTGATTGGACATTTTGGTTGGACCCGGTGTAAATAAAAGAAGCCCTGCGGCGCGTCGCGATCGGAGGTCCTAGGAGAGGAGTCCCCGTGTCGGAGAGCCGACATGTGTGTGAGTCGGCGGTCTTAGGCGAAAAGCTGACCTATGTGTTAGAGAGGAGAGCTCGGCTCTTCGAGTCTCTGTCGGCCCCAGTGCCGAAATTGTAACGCCTCTGTATATATGCTGTACATAAACCTTGTTTAACTCACCGTCGTCTCGTCCGCTCGTCTTATCAGCTCTGCGCAGAAGCAGTCGCGAGCTGATAAACATACGCTACCAAACGGCTAGTGACCTTCCCGGCGGAGTGGGAAGCAGTGGCGCCATCGGGACCGGGTTGGCGTCGCCGTCTTTCGCAACCGTGGTGGCTTCGGCGGGACAGGCCCCTCGTTCTCAATAAGGCTGCAAAACAACTTCGTCACCTGACACGTAGTCTGTGTCTGTTGGAGTGGAACACCCCAAGCATAATACATGCGACGCTCTACCAAATAAACCCTCGACTGGAACTTCAACCTCTATCCGGACTTCGCCGACATGAAGCTAAGCTTCTTTGTCGCTTTTGGTTGGGGGTTGCCTTCACGAAAGCATATGCAATCCTCATTGAATTGACCGACGATGCGGAATGCGACGTCTCCTGCACCGAAGACGACATCGGCCATCTGATATGCCATTGCCCTCGATTCGCCTCTAAAAGACAGAAGCTTTCAGACGCATTGCGGCGATTGGAAGATCGGCCACACTCTATGCAGATGCTACTGGAACACCGTCTTCGCCTTTCGTCGTTTCGTCGACTGAAAAAGCCGTCGAAGCCGTCTTGTGCTTTTTGGGGACTACAGGCCTATGTGAACGCCTTTAACTTTTGTGTAGTGCCACCGCTGCATACGCGTCAACCCACTGACTGACAATCCTTTTCTTCCTTTCTTTCTTTCTTTCTTTCTTTCTTTCCTTCTTTCTTTCTTTCTTTCTTTCTTCCTTTCTTTCTTTCTTTCTTTTTTTATTTTCTCTTTCCTCTCTCTCTCTCATCTTTACGCCCCCGTTTTCATTCTCCCAGTGTAGAGTCCCAAACCGAGCATGTGACTGGTTAACCTCCCTACCTTCTCTCTTGTTGTTCTAGTACTCCTCCATGGTGGCTGTGAATCCTTTGTAGATTCCTTCCAGTATGTTTATGTAGGGTTCTTCGATACCCTGATTTCGTAGTGCCTGCATTGCTGCTGATGTCTGGACTGAGTGGAATGCCTTCTCGTAATGCACGAAAGCTATGCACTGTGATTGGTTGTATTCCATGTATTTCTGCATTAACTAATTGATATCGTGAATATCGTCTATTGTGGAGTAGCCTGTACGAAATCCTGCTTGGCCCTTGGTTCATTTACCTCAAACGTCGCCTAATTGTAATAGCTCTTATTTTTGTAAATAGTTTCTGGAGAGCGGACAGTATGCTGATCGGCCTGTCATTTTTCAAGTGCTTGTCGTCTCTGTTTTTTATTGATTAAAATGATACAGGCATCGTTCCAAGATTCTAGTACCCTTCTCCTCAATAGACGGGAAAGGTACCAGAATGCATGTGGCAGCAGTTTTTTGAATATGCGTCTGAGTTGACGACTGCGGCAGAAGCAAAAAATCACCACCCAAGCTCTCCGTAAAAATGGTAAACCAGCGAAAGCTGAAGCGTTCGGCCCCGCTGTTTAGCAGTGGCTTCAACCCAACGCTGCTCTTAAGGCTTTTGCAATGACTGGTTACAACAAAATCGAATGTAGGGTTAGTTGGATATGCATGGTATAACTTTCGTTTAAGTGCACGAAGAAACACGAAGGAGAAAAGGGCTGTCTTCCTTCCTGTTTCTTCGTGCGCTTGAACGACAGCTATGACTGATTACATATTCGTGCTTCTTAATCAAGTTCAATACACGTTTGACTTGACCTTACCACAGTGTTTATTTCCCATTCCACACATTGTGCCTCGCATAATCAGGGTCATAGGTCATGGATGAATGGGCTGTTAAATGTGTTTCGCAATGAGTTAAGCATAGTGGTTGTTATAGAACCTCAAACGGTCGCAGACGCAGCCGAAGCCAAAATGCCGCTGGAGAAACTCTTGCCGGAAGCGGGAGCTCGCCCCTAGCGAACGCGCTTCTGCAATCATCACATTCAGGCCGCAACACCACGTTGTTGCAAGCATTTGACATTGCGAGCGAACTCAGGGGCGTTTGACGTCATAAGCTAACTGACAATGCAGCCAATGGCGCGCGTGCTTCATTATGAAGGTGCTAAAAACGTAACTTAAAACAGCCAGTAAAGACCTCTCATGACACGGCTGCAGGACAGGTTTTTATTTCTCCCATAGCCACATGCAGTTTTTGCTGTAAAACAAAGTGAAGAATGGGGAGACGGCGGCAGGTGGATGAGGTGCTACCGAAGGGGAAATATCACAAGGGGTAAGGTGGGCACGCCGACACCGTATAGTTCCACAAGACGGATACAATGGCATAGACCCATGGTTACGCGAAAAATAGAGAAATACTTCCAAATAACACAGTCTATACAAGGATAGAATTATAGTATGTACGTTGCTTATACATTTACCGAGCCTGTAATAGATTATCCAAGCGTTTTCAAAGTACTCCTTTATTGACAAATTCGAGGGTCTGTTTTGCTGATGTTCGAAGAGTGAAAAACAGCATGTCGTCGAATATGTGCTCTATATTGAAAAAAAGACGTAATTCTATTCCCATTTCATTGCCTTAAAAAATGCGCTTAATTTCATTCCCAATCTATTTTTCCAAGTTCTGTCGCCTTTCCATTCCCATTTTATTCCGGGGGCGTGGAAATGTGTAATGATTCTGGATTCATTCCAATTCGGGAGTGGCAACTCCGTAACACTGTTTCGTGTATATTCTGTGATTTTTTTTACTATGATTTGTAAAGTTGGGAAGGCTATAGTGATGTGGGCTTGCTGAAAGCCACTATAAACACAAACAGGAACCATAAAAAACTGTAACAGATTTCAATGAAGCTGAAGTATTGACAGGAAGAATTAGTTATGGAAGGAATCATCGAACACATGCATGAACTATCACATAATAAAGGTCTCAAGGAAAAAAATGTTGTAAACAAGAAACACACTTAATATTCTTTTGGCATAAAAGCGCAAAACAAAAATAAACAATGCCGGCATGTCCTTTTATGAAGGCAGACATCAAATTTGGGTGTTGTGAGACCATAAAGTTGTTCAATTGATCAACCCAATGTAGAGCAATTCGGAATGATTAAATTTTTGTGGGTAATTTAGAAAGCGTTTTGCATTCAAAATAGTGGCACCATCTTTATATGGGCACTCTTTCTGTCGGTATTTTTTCTTTCTAGAAATAATTCACTCTTTATTTACTAAATTTTAACAATCAAACTTTTTCTGTTGTAGCAAAGAGAAAGCCCAGACCTATGTGCAGCGAGGATCCAGTGCCGGATACATGTTTCTTGCATAGGAAGCACTGGCACTTCGATTTCAGAAACAACGAATGCATTCGATTTCCAAAGAAGGGTTGTGGAAAGGGATCCAACAGTTTTTCGACAGTCGAAAAGTGCATGATGAGATGCAGCTGTAAGTATTTTTTTCTATACCTCTTGAATTGTAATATCAGTAATTTCTAAATGACATTTCTTAGATGACCATGGTGAAAAGTTTCCATCGTTAAAAATTACAGCTTACAACAACTCAACTATTATTGCAAGGACACGTTCTCGTTCAATTTCACTTTACTGCGGTAGTCAACAATAGCCTCTGTAAAAATACAGTGGTCTAAAGAATTTCCAACAGAACCCTAACCGAGAGGCGCTGCGGTCACCGAGGTGAATGGACGCTCTTCACGTCGGCTCCATTCTCATAGAATGATTTCGCAGCGAATACAGCCAGGCACTACTCGGATTTGTATACCATCTTATTCTTCTCGTCACCGAGAGTCCGAAGACACCATATTCTAAGGTGGGTGATCATTTTTTGAGATTTTACGACCGAAAACCAGCCCCCACCAAGCAGCGTCTACTATTCCTACGACCGGCGCCCCGCGTCGACTGGGGCAGCCTCATGAGAGCCAGGCCTCGGCGTTCGCGCCATACAGGCCGTAATCATCAATAATGGAGGTATCGCAGCAGAATGAAGACGCCACCCAACGGGAAGACGAAGACGTCACCCAACAGGAAGATGACACAGGCAACGGGTGGACAGAAGTTTGATACAGAAAACGTGCGAAGAAAGGTAGCCAGGAACGCCGTGGTAGCCCTAGCCCTACCCGAACACCTGGAACGCGCGGTGAAAATCTGATATCCCGGATAACCAGAGCCAACAAAATGCCAAGACTGCCGACAGGCGACTTCAAGATAGTTATAAGGCCAAGAGGAGGACTGCAGCTATCCAAGCTCAACTTAACGAAGCTAGATAAAGCTGTGTATGAAGCGGCCGAGATCCCTTATGAAGAAAGAGAGACGGACACGATTTGTCCGAATACTTTTCAGAACATCTTGGTCGTTAGCACCCCAAACCAAGACCATGCAGACAAGTACCAAGGCATCAAGCACATCAAAGCCAACGACAAGTTGTATGAGGTGGGAGCATACGAGACGGCCCCGGAACTCACTGCCAAAGGTGTACTCAAAGGAGTTACTTTGAACGAAAGCCCGCGGGACATCACCGCAGCTATTATTACAGCCCAAAATCCTACGGCGATCGCAGCAAAACGTCTTGGCAACACCACGACAGTGATAGTCCTTTTTGACGGCAGCAGAGTCCCGACGCACGTTATGTACAGAGGAGTGCTCACACGCTGTTCACTATACAGGAAACAAGTTGACTTTTGCAAACAATGCAACAGACTTGGGCACAGGAGTGACGTGTGTTGGAGGCCAAACGACAAGCTATGTGCGGGTTGTGGAACGCCTGATCCGAGCGAGGACCACACTGTCAGCCACGATGTCAGCTGTGCGGCAAGGATCATCCCACGGCTGACAAACTCTGCAAGGCCAAGTTCAAGACACCCAACATCGTAAAACAACGCCAGTGGTTCCGACAACTTCAAGAGACGCTCGAGGAAAACTACCCCCCCCCCCCCCAAAACCAAGCCAACCGAACGCGGGAGGTCCAAATTCCGGACGAGGGCAACGCCTGGGTCCAGATCAAGGTTCTGGTCCTGCGCAATGCCCCACGGCCACACCACTCAGTCTCCGGGACCGAGAAGGCGCACTACATCCCGTTCCAGATCCCGGTATAAGCCAAAGGGTGGCAATGGCCATCAAGGGAACGCGGCATTCACGGTGAGCTGGTCAGACGTGGCTAAAGGGACGCGCCCTGAGCCTTCGGGGGAGACTGCGCATAATGTCAGTGATATTGCGGAGCTGAAAAAAGAAAACTCTGAGCTTAGAGAATTGATATCACAACTTACTCGGGAAATTCAAAGTCTTAAAAACTGTACAAATAGAACTTCTAGTCAAATGCGTTCCACGGCCCAAGAGCGCCTCGAAGAAATGCCAGATAACCGAATGGACAAGGACAGTACCCCGCCACCTCTTAAAAGGAAAGCTCAGGTGTCTAATGACAAAACTACGGCGCAAACCTCGAACATTATTCAAACATTGTCCGAAATACAGAAAGCAGTTAAGGAACAGGCAGAGGCAACCAACAACCTCTCGCTTGTGATATCCATGATCATGAATAGACTAGATAAACTCGAAGCTAACGTAGCAAATCTCAACCCTAGGACACCTCCGGTACTTCCAGCTACCAACCTTCCGATAAGCACTGAAGGAAATTCACACTTATCTCAGGGCACCACATCAGTGGCTATATCAACTAATTTCATGAGGCCTGCCTCTTTTCACCCTCCTCCCTCTTCGATAGCCAACTCAAAATAGGGAAGCCGAGAAAAAGATACTTAATTATTTGGCAGTGGAATTGCAGGAGCTATGAGGGGAAGAGAGCAGTCTTGCAACAACACCTTAGAGACAGAACCAAACCGGATGTTCTAATTTTGCAGGAAACCCATGCTTTAGCTAAGCTACTGGGATATGAGGCGATCGGCCCCTCAACAGGGGATATTAGAACACTAACCACTCTAGTAAGGAAGGGACTCGTAGCAATCTGCCACGACACCCGCATCACAGAAATTGAACATATACTCGTACAACTTGCCCGTAAAAGAAAAAAATCTCCGAGCATATTTATTCTGAATTTGTACAGCAATCCCACACGCATACGACAACGCTTCCTTCTTCTCTTTAAGAAGGCCGTAGATATAGCGGGACCCAATCCACTCGTCATAGGTGGAGACTAACGCTCCACGCAGTGCTTGGGGATACGGATACACAAGAGCCAAAGGAAAATTCGCTATGGCAGGATATTCAAGAAACAGGCTTAACTCTCATCAACGACTCCGACTCCCCTACACGTATGGGAACTGGGATTGCAAGAGACACCACTCCAGACTTAACGTTAGTTCGTAACGCGAGGACCGCTAAATGGAAAAACACAATCGATGATCTGGGGAGTGATCATCGAATATTAGAAATCGGGATAGAAACCATGGCTGCCGCCAAAATTCCGAGACAGATTAGATGGACTGACTGAGATAAGTTTCGGAAAGTCAAAAACGCGAAAAAACAAGACCCTATCAGCAATATAGAAGATTTGATCAAAGATGTCAATAACGACGTCAGCGAGGCAACGCGGAGTATCACTTCAAGTCCACCCCTAGAGCAGATTGATAGCCGTCTCGCACACATGTGGGAGGCCAAACAATCACAGCAGAATAGATGGCGGGGACAGAGGCACAACAGGCCCTTGTGCAAGCGCATAGTCAAGCTGAACAAACAGATCGAAGAACATTGTAAGCAGCTAAGCAAACAGCAAAGGGACCAAGTTTGTAATAGTCTCGATGGCCCAATGAATGCTGGTCAGACATGGCGCATGCTCAAACACCTGCTAGACCCAGATAACACCAAATCAGCACACAAGCAAACCTTGCGTAAACTGGTGCACCAGAATAACGGCAGTGAGGAGGACTTTATCGCTGAGGCTAGCAACACGTACATTCCCGCCATGCCTGTCATAGAGCACGGACCATATTCCGGAGGCCCGAACGAGCTCTTAGATGAGGAGTTTACTGTGGCTGAAATCAGCGCAGCGCTACAGAAGCTAAACACCAAATCTGCACCGGGACCAGACGGGATCACTAACAGAACACTACGGAACCTTGACGACCAAGCCATAGAGAACATCACGCAATATATTAACGAGTGCTGGACGAAGGGCGCTATACCAAAATAGTGGAAAAAAAGCTAAAGTAATCCTCATCCCCAAGCCCGGGAAACCCCCCGATCTATCGAATTTACGCCCCATATCACTAACGTTTTCTGCAGGGAGCTGATGGAACACGCTTTTCTAGACAGAATCAACACTTATCTTGAGGAGAACGAAATCTACCCAGATTCCATGTTGGGGTTCCGCACACGCCTCTCCACGCAAGAAGCCATGCTGCAAATTAAGCAGCAGATTCTAGACAACAAAACAAGAGCTACCCGTGCGATCTTAGGGTTAGACCTTAAAAAAGCCTTCGACAAAGCATCGCATACGGCTATCTTACATCAGATCTGCCAATTAAGCTTAGGATCAAGAGCGTATAACTATGTCAAGGACTTCCTAACAGACAGAACGGCATCTATCGTAATGGGAGAACTGAGATCTGAGGACAGGCCTATGGGCAGGGCTGGTACCACGCAGGGTTCGGTCATATCGCCAATGCTGTTTATTCTCATATTGATAGGACTCCCGGCGCGGCTGAACTCAATATACGGAATACATCTTTCTATATATGCAGATGATATCACCATCTGGGCGTGTGAAGGTAGTGACGGAGAGATAGAGCAGAGACTACAGGAGGCCGTCACCACTATTGAGGAGTATCTTGATGGTACTGGCCTCGAGTGCTCGCCAGATAAATCCGAACTCCTCCTCTATCGCCCCACGCTTAAAGGCAGACCGCTCAAGGGATACATCCGGGACCGTGATCTCTGCCGGGACCGGGATCTCTGCCGGGACCGGGATCTCTGCTTACGAAGAGATCCGAATTCACACCAAAAACGGCAGGACTATTCCTATAGTGCAACAAATCAGAGTCCTTGGACTCATCATCGAGTCTAAGGGTACAAACGGTGAAACCGTCAAGAGGTTAGTAACCAAAGTCACCAACGCAATATGGCTAATCAAGAAAGTCACCAACAAACACCAAGACATGAAAGAGGCTAACGTCATCAGGCTTATTTATTCATTCGCCATAAGTCACATTATATACGTAGCGGCATATGTTAACTGGTATACAGCCGAAAAACTCAAAATCAACGCACTCATATGAAAGGCGTACAAACAAGCTTTGGACCTTCCAGATAGCACTAGCAACGAAAAACTGTTTCAACTGGGCTTACATAACACTTTAGAGGAGCTGATATAAGCGCAACAGATTGCCCAGTTGGAGAGGCTAGCCAGCACGCGCACAGGACGGAGTATCCTTGACAAGTTGGGGATAAATTACCATAGGCAACAAGGAAAAAAAGTGTCGGTTTTAAAGGTGATCAGGGAAAAGATCCAGGTCACCAATCTGCCCAGAAACATGCACCCCGAATTTAATCAAGGCAGAAGAGAAAGCCGCGCTAGAACTCTGCTTAAGGCCTACGGCAGAGACAAGGAAGCGTTTTTCTAGACGTGGCGGAGTACCCTCGTCACAAATCCTACGTTGCGGCAGTAATAAACACCGACCGCAAATGCGTAAACGCGTGCTCCATACGCTCGGATAATTCAGAAATCGCGGAAGAGGTGGCTATTGCACAGGCCATAATTTCCCCAAAGTGTATGTATGTCATCAGCGACTCGCAGTCGGCAATCCGTAACTATGCACGAGGAAGATTATCTCCCGAGGCAGCCAGCATACTCTTCCGCAAGGCAAATCTCATAATATCCAAGGGATTCGAAGAAAGGTATATTATATGGTTCCCAGCCCACACCCCGTGTGCGTCCCCCATTCCCAACCTCAACGAGGAGGCTCACCGCATAGCGCGAGGTCTCACTTACCGCACTCGCAATGGAGCTTCACATGAGGTACTGGGAGGAGATGAGTGGTGGGAGAGGGACAGAATGTTTAGGTTCTGCGACATTATCCAATTCTACCAAAAGTCGAGGCGCAGATTTCCACCACCTAGCTCCACATTAGACAGATCTCAGGAGGTTGACTGGAGGCGACTTCAAACTAGAACATTTCCCAATCCGAAGCACCTAAATCGCATCTACCCCGAACTATACCCAGATGACTCATGTAAACTATGTCGCATGAGACGTGCCTCCCTAGAGCATATGTTATGGGAATGCACACAGATACAGGACGCCAATGCAGTCTCCCCAGAACAGATTGGGGCGCGGTGAAGAGCCGCGTTGATCAGCTCAGATCGGACAGATCAAATATGGGCCATCCAGCGAGCACGGGAGGCGGCTGAGAGACAAGGTCTCTCCACGGCCCCCGGTGCGGCTTAGGCCCACGCCTCAATCCGCTGGTTAAATAAAGTTGGCTCACTCACTCAGAACCCCAACACAAAAGCACTTCAGGAAACACGGCTCATGGACTTCAGAGTTCAGGCCCAGGTATTGAGTGCTATTATTGTGAAAATTCATGAATACGTTTTCTTTTATAGTAGTATTTCTTATTCTAAACTAAGCCTCCACGCATTGAATATGGGTCATAGTGGTCATGTTAGCAAGCTCGAACTGTGTGCAGGTGTGTTATGTTAATTCGACATATCTATGTGAGGATTTCTGAATTGTTTTCTTCTTGGAGTGGCCATGTAAGGCCGAGAATTGGTTCGAGCACCTGATTAGTGACATGTCATTTTCGCTGAGTCAACGGCAGCTGAACTTCTAGAAAATGCTATACCCGTGAAGTCAAATACAAGAAACAAATGATGTCTATGTCGAAATCGGAGCTCTGCTTTTAATCAACATGTTCGAGAGAAAGAAGTGTTTCCTTTAACTTTAAACTGGATAAAAATAAAAGAAGCGATTGCATAGTATCAGCCAGAAAATTGTTCTGGTAAAAAATAAGAAACACAACGCCACTTCGCTGGGCCGGTTCAATTTCTCGACCTCCTCTGTCTCACCTTCAGAGTCTAGCCTATTGCGTTCACCCGCACCCTCATGTTTACATGAATTAAATTTGGCATGGCTAGTTTAGTTGTTTTAGTAAATTCTATGTTATCCCTCTTTCTCGCAAATGCATTGATGTACAGTACCATTCATTGTTAAAAGGAACACTACAATGAGCACTGTTCATATTGCCAGCCCTCAAGTATAGCACGAGGATGCGATAACAATTTTTATGCAGGAAACCAGTCTGTCAGAAGGATCCAAAACTGCCAATCCCTGGTAGTATCACGTAAATATAAGCCACTAGGCATTTACAGGAGAGCGATATCCAAGCATGCTGTGAACAAATGCGTTTCCTTTCAAGTGTACTCGACTGTAGGTAGTTTACTAGCTTTGATGTACTGACCAGACATTGCCCCGTAGCATGAAGTATGCGAAAGCCACAATATGGTGGAAAGTCTGCAGAAAAACTGTGCGAAACACTTTACTAATCAAAGGATTTACAATGTACGACGTGTAATTGCGTGTAAGTTTTAAATTAGAGGCACTATGTGTGTGTTTTCTTAAATGACAGTTTTTTTCACGTGGTTGAGGTAAAGACTTCAATGTAACGGACTTAGGAGAGGCTGCTTTGCATATATCGCGGTGCTAAAATATTAAAGAGTGAAGTACTTCATCACAAAAGTATCAACCGAAGTCACAGAATAAGTGCTGCCTTTTTCGAAAAGATAAAAGATGTCACAGATGGCTCCAGCAGCTATTATTCAAGAGCGTACTTATTTTTAAGAAGTTTTATACGCTTCTCATTGTGTCGGCTTATTAAGCACTGCTAAATACCTTTTGTACTTTTATCCGATATTTATACTGTGTCGTTTCAATGACAGATAACAATTTAGTGATGCCACGCCCGAAAGGTGAGCAAACAAACGAAAATCTGCTGCCGGGAAACAACGTAGAGCCCGTCCCACCCTATCGACCACACCCGCCACCCGGCGCGATTGGCTCGACTACACCACCTGCCTTCCAAACGCAACCTGGTCAACTTGGCCCCCCTCTTTTCCCTTCTATGACGAATAATGGCCAACACATCGGACCCGGCAGTGGACCAAGTCAAGCTGTTCCTCCAAACATGCGCGGGCGCCCAGGAGCACAAGGTGCACCCGTCTTTGGCTCACCCGCGTCACCCAACGTTTCAAGCGGAGCCGGTATTATGGTTAACGGACAGCCCAGGCATCCTGGCATTTCTTCACACGGTATGCTTGCCGGTGGGGGCTCATCCAGCCCTCCCCGCTTCCAAACGCAAGGACAACCCTCATTGCCGAATACTTCAGGTGTAGCACCTATTCAATCTGCCAGACCCTTCCAGAGCAGCCTTCGCCAACGGTGGCCAAAATAGTGGTTAATCAGTTGAACGAAGGTATACTTTTTTTGTTGTTCTCAGACTCCCGCTGCTTTGTCTGCTCTCCTAAAATAAAAAGAATAATTCTGTCACTGGAACATCATTGTGGCCTTCTTGTAAGTAAAGCTCCATATAATACTGTCATTTGCTCGTCTGAAGGTATAATGCATATTTCGAAGCATACAAAATATATCGTGGTTTAGTTGTGAGTATATAATTTACCGACACAAAGACAAAAGCGGTATCATGCCAAGCAATACATACATATAAAGAGCGAGTTCGAATTCACCTCTTATGTCAGAAAACTGCCCGTTATCCACGAAACCGAGGCTTCATTCTTCTTAGCATACGGCAATTGTCGAGAGGATTTTCGGTCATATGGGAGAGCTGCACATACTATCTGCACATATATACCAGGCTATTGTGCTTCAGGAAATCTTTCGTCGAAAGTTGATTCAATTAAGAAGCGGAAAGCGTACGAAGGATATCAATTATTATAGCTATTAGGTGCAAAGGAAAGGACATATTTCTAGGATATGAGAAAACCTGTACATGACACCATCTATCGACACAGCGACGGCATCTTACCATAAATGAAAAGGTGAAAAAACTTATTGCAGCAAGATAGTTATCAAAAACAACTCCAACAGTTATACAGCAGAGACCTACTGGAACACTTTGGTGAAATTTTCCTAACGTACTGAATAGCGTGTGGCTTGCTAAAACAGTTCAACACCACCCATTGTAAAGTTGGTAGAGCATAAGACACGTTATTCGAAGGTTTAGGGTTCGGTCCCTGTCTACAGAACGTTATCCTTTCGTCCACTTTTTGTTCCTCACAATTAAATTACAGTTACTTCCAATAACATCCCCTATACTTTCTTTGGCGTAATCGTCAGTTCTTATAAATGTTGTGTCTACTAAAAAAGCCAAGCCTTTCAATTTACCTTCTTTCCTTCATTCATAGCGAGTGTTTCGTTCTGGCTGACATAATGCCTTCAGGTGGGATGTGAGGGGTTATTGATCAGCTGACATGCAGCCTGTATTAGAGACAAGGCTATGTAGCTATGTCCATGCCGACTGATATCCAAAGGGTACCGCTTACAGCATGACGGGTGTTCTAAAAAATAAGCCTTATTATATTTTTTCTACATTATTTATTTTGTATAATTAAAATGCTATAGTGTTCAAGAGTAATAGTAAAAAAAAGTGTGACATAACGAACAAGTTGAACTCACTGTGCAACGTTAGAGCCTGTGAAATAACGCCAGATGGTCTAACCTTCCGGAACCTTCCACTTCGGTGTCTCTCACAATGGTGATTTGGTTTTCACAAGTGATGATCGATATAATAATAATATTATTATTAACAAGCTGTACTTCCGAATGTGTATGTCAGGGAATTAGACAGGGCTTCAAAAATGCTCTTAGAATCAGCAGAACAGCATATAGGAGTACACAGGATTTATTGATTGATAAGTAGAGTTTAATGTCTCAAAAACACCATGTAATTATGAGAGATGCCGTAATGGAAGGCTCCGGAAATTATGATCACCAGGGGTTATATAACATGCACTTAAATCTGAGCAAACAGGCTTCTAACATTTTCGCCTCCATCGAATGTACAGCCACTGCAGCCGAGATTCGATACCGCAATATGCGGGTCACCAGCTAAGTACCTTAGCCACTAGACTGCCTTGGCGGAGCGGAGGACACAAGAACATGGTTCACACTATCATCACAAAAGTCAGCAGAGTATGTTCCGAGAAAAAAATTGAACCATTTTGTACTTCAGCCTAAAGTAATGAGTTGAAAGCGCTATGGAAAAACCCACTTAACGCGCAGTTAGCATTATGTGACGACTCATTATTTATTCTACTACCAAACTATAAAACATACGCTAACGTGGCTCCTAGCACGGCTGACATGACACATGTATATGGTGATTATTTGACGCAGATTCACGTAACAGCATCGCTATGTGGTACAAATTAGGCCGAGGTCGCCTAGTCATGGCATGTTCGAATATTGAACACCACTTCCGACTGGAGAGAAATACAACGTGCGTCATGTCTACGCTGTTGGCCAGCCGCTATTTTTTGCGAGGCTAACGGGAATGGGGAGAACGTATTTTTATTAAGGTGATGCAGAGCCACTTTTGGTATGAGCAAATGCTATGAGCGAAGCACTAATGTGACCAGCTTGCGTTGTGCTAATGCATCGACAATACCACACTTCTATTGGAAACGCGCCGAATGGAACGGACGCGTAGAAACGACACGTTGAAAAGAACTAATCGTAGTTGTAATCTTCATAATGCATTACTCCACTTTACCAAGAGCAGTGCGAAGTGGCAGTGTTATATATAAAAGGCGCATTTGTAGAGCTTCGAGTGCACTTCGCCGTGGCGCGGTGGTTATTGTGGCCAGCCCCTGAGGTTGCGTACCGAAAGATCATGGGTTGGACTCCCGTTGACAAAAACTTTCTGGTCGTGAATATCTTTCAAGGGCAAGATTACGTCACTTATCTCTTGTTACATGGGCTCTAACATGGAACACTTTCGTGTTAAAAAGTCCATTTCACCAAACGGTTAATGCAATGAATGCGATAGCAACATAATGTAATCGTATACAAAACGAGGCTAGCAGCTCACTCTTTTGAATCTGATATCACGTCACTCTGCCAAACGGTAGTGTCGGAAAATTCGGCTGCTCTGAGGACACTTTTTGCATAGTCTATGCGATGAACGCGCAGAGCGTAGAAGGGTATTCGCCAAGCACGTGAACTATTGGTGACGCGCTGAACAATTTAAGATGGCGCCCAGAGGAGAATCCACCTGTTTGTTTGCATATGAACAGATTGCACTTGTGCACGCACGACCCATGCCACGTTTGCTGGTTAAAGTCACGAGCTGCACTAAAATGTATATGAACCCCTAAATTATTTGCCGTGGTTTGACGGGTTTTATTTCAGCTCCGTTATCATGCTTGAACAATGCTGTTCGAAATCCTGTGCGGGTTACAGCAAACTGCCTGAGCGAAAATTGCCATATGGACCAAACAGTCCTGTGATGTTATATGTGCCAAGCCTGTCTGACGAATGCACCGCGGTAGTAGGCCGCAAGCGAGTAGCGCCATCTCTGCTGTGTGGGACCAAACGGTTAACGTGTTGATGTTTTGGAAACATCCTCATTATTTGCGCAGTCAGGAACACTAAGTTGCTTCATCAACAGAACACGAACACTTAATACGCATCGAGCAGCGCTTGTGTCACAGCCGTGCTCAGAATCTGGCTCTGCGCAATTAACTTTACTCAGAATGTTCCAGCATCGATCAGCACAATTGAAACATGAATATCAAAAAGAGTACACATGTATGCTTTTCGCAACGCCATTGCGAAAAATTGTCGAAGGATATTGTTGTTCGGAAGGTACGTGTGAAGAACAGGAAATGTTAGCCAAAAAGAGTTCATTGAGAGTGGCACAGCTAGTCGCATCGCTCTAACGATTTCGCATCGCTTTTTGAGCTGGAGCTTGTTGGCTGCGAAGTTGAACATAAGAAAAAAAGATATCAACGTGCGACGGAACGTTAAGTGCAACTCGCTACTCATCCGTTATGAGGTGGTCATTTATCACCGCCAGCACTCTAGGTGCTTTCACAGCCTTCTACCTTGCGGTGTCTCGGACGAAGGCACCATGCTCTCAGAATACATGGACACAGTAAGAGCGGTCGGTCCAACGGAACACTTGTACACCTATTCGACAACGTTTACACATGACGATGTCGCCAAACAATTTACATACGTCAGTAGTGACACACTAAAACTATAATATACGATATTTTAATAACGTCAATCAACATGAGAACACACACAATGTAACGCGAAGGCCGCGTTAACTTATGCCACGCGTGTCCGTCGTAAAAGGTGTGACGACGTACGCGACGGGATTGTCTAATTTTTCATCTCAATGGCAAAATGAGTCATATTCGTCAAACCATCTTACTCTCCCAATACATGTTTGGTTCACCACAGGTTAAGGCGTCATGCTAAGAGAACCCAGACGATAGATAGATATCGATATAAATAGATTGATCCACTGAACGTATGTGCAGTAGGCAAAGAAACGTTTCGCATATCAAATTCTCGTCGTGAAGATGCTTTCTCAAAACATAACTGCGAATCACCGAAAGACTTTGACCACACCACGCTAGACTAAGTTATCTGGCCATGGGGAACATTTTGCTGTCAAAACTGTCAATATGCAAATAGCTTGTAGTCTGCTGCCACATATTATTAAGCCACAAATGCATACGGCGCAGCGCATCCTAATTTGAGATAGAGCAAATCGCGAGCCCACGTGATTTTTCATGTAGTACAATGGCATGAGGCTCACGCGCTGCAAGAGAATTGACGAATCCTATAGGCAAGTAAAGCAAGGAGAGTTTCAAATGAATAGGTCAGACGATAGCGTTTACCTGTCTTACGTGGCTACAGAAAACCTGGCGAAGCTCATATGCCTACGTTGTGGTCTATTATTAAAAACGCCAGTTGCCACGTATTATCACGAAAACTTCATGTCTCGCACAAACTAATCAGATTTGTCGTGTCAAGGAGCGTTCAGTTTGCTTACTCGTTAAGGAACGATACAAAGTGCTAGGCTTCGTTTCCTGCCAACGCGTTAACATAGAGGTCACACAGCCGAACAAGAGAGCGACTGCGTAGTGCTGGCGTTGTGTCTTCTACTGAATATTCCTAAGAGGATGCTCCTCAATTTCGCTTGTTGGCGCAATAAATAGTCATTGCGAAAGCTAGCCACCTTTGGACTGCTGCCAAGATAGAAAGATTGGGAATGCGCCAGTGATGACGACCTCGCCCTGTCACTCCATGACCCCCCCCCCCCTTTCCTCGCGTCCTTTCACACTCGCCAAAGACGGGTGGG